CCACGTTGTGATGAGCCGACGTGAGAGGCTTCATTCACAGTCCCAGCCTGAGAGTTTCCAGTGGCTTTGATTAGCCATGCTGCTACCGTAGCCTACTCTATGTGGCACCATGGATAAAAACAGATTAAAGGATGATTAAATTAAAAAAACGTATGCTGCTGCAAATGTAATTTCTAGGGTCCAGTTTGACTCTGAACAGCTGCTACCTGTCCAGCAAAACGTTTCATTATGGTAAATATTTGGTTTTTACCACATTCAGAAAGGATGTGTGAATGAAGTTTGTCATGTTACATCGTCTATTTGTGTGAAATGCCTAAATTAACATGTCTGACAGAGCAGAAAAGTCTAAGTACTTTAAAACTCATTTTCAGCACCACCTTAATAATTTGTCAGGCTGCTGATGTCGACTCCACTGAACAATAACTCCCCCAAACATTTCAGAATGAATATTCCTGTGTTGGTCTGCCTGATTGAATTGGAGATCTCTGCGACTCTGTGTGTCTGTAATTATCCACACCTTCATCCCTCATTGCTGTGCTGTTATCAGGCTCCTGACATGCTCCTTCGCATTATCATTGATCAAGGAAATGATCCACCGCTGAAGTCTCTTTCTCTCACACTATCAGCTCGTGGCAATTAACTCCTTAAAAATGCTGTTTGCAACTTCACTGCTGCAGTAGCTCATGTATTAATTCTGTGATCAGTTACCTCTAATTCAGCTTTTCCAGACTCATTTTGCTAATGGATGTCAGTCGTGTCTCAAAACTAAACTGTGAGAAAACTGTTTATGAACTAAGCTGTGAAAAGATCCCTTGTAATGCACTTCCACTGTAGGTGATGGGCACAAAATCCACCATTGTTGTTTTGTGCAAAAATAAAATCCACAGTTTTTTTTCTTTCTTTTTAGAAAATTTATCCAACAGTCAAATCTATCAGTCAAATCAATGGTTGTGCAAAAAACCCAGTATTTGTATTTGTAGCTGTTGATGGAGTAAAATTATTTGTATTTGCATTAAAATAAGTGGCATCAGGTGTAACAACCCTGTTTTACTTTTTATTATAATTCTAATTATAGGATATTAAAGTGTTAATATAAGGCTAAGTTACAGGGTTAACAGGCAAACACTAGCCTAACCTCCTCCCAGTCAAACAAGTGCCACTGCATCTGCATCTTTTAGGTTGAAACGATGGCACAGCAACTTTGCTAGAATAGCTATAAATAGATGTTTCTTCAGAGTGATCTCTGCAGCCCTGTGACACAGCGCAGTGAGCACAACGTGTAGATGAACCAGCTGCTAACTACACTGCCAGAGCTAACCTAAGTAGAACTGTAGCTCTGAGTGTCACCCACTGGGGCTTTACTCATTTATTAACACAGACTAATTCTGAATCTTATCACATGTAGGCCATTAGGATCGTATGGACTTCAACATTTTGATTTTGCATACTAAATAACATCAGTTGATTGGACTTGTGCCTCTGTATTTTGATATTACTGTACATCAGAAGGAAAAAAGGATAAAAACAAAGTAAATTCAGATTCTTGGTAACTGCTGGCATGAAGGCTGAGTTTTGAACTTTTGATATTTTTACACTGGGCTGCTGTTGGTTTAATGAACAGCTGTGACCACAGAGCAACAGGCTCAAGTTGTGTTTCAGTCAGAATCACAAGTCTTTGTGTGCTGCAACACAATATAACTTCTCGGGGCTCGACCAGAACTTCACAGAGATAATGAGGCTCATGTGGGGAGGACAGGACGAGTGCATCACCTCCTCCTCATCATCGTCCTCATCAGCCATCTCTTACTGGTCCCTGAGGCAGCTGGGAGATTAGCGTCAGCATCCATTCTAATATTTTTGTGTCATCTGTGTTGCTATTAGACTACTACAATACTTACAATAGGTTTGGACAAAGTGTGTGTTTGTTAAAAGCTGAGCATAGTGATGGGGGCTAAACCCAAAGTTATAGGCACCACTCAGCCCTGGAGCAGTGACGGAGTCTCCCTGGTATCGTTTTGGGCGCAACAATCTATTACCTGAGCATTTGTTAATTAAAATAATATGTGCAGCTTACAGATGCAACACAGCCTCTTCTGGTGAACAGTCAGGGTCAAATTCCATTTCCTAAGTGGACGCAGCAGCTATGATCCTGAGGTCAGTGTGAACAGCATCCATCAGGACCAGCTAATGACCCCCCCTCCTCTCCCAGGCAGCAAAACGCCCAAACAGAACAACGTGGAAGTTGTTGTTTTCCATCTGTAAGACAGCTTCATGTACGTAGTTTATCGGTGATATTCTTCACAGAGGAGGACAGTTGATTAGAAGCATAAAGCAGGAAGAGAACCTGAGGCCTGCTGCTGCGACGTGTCTCTGCAGGAGAAACTCATTAGTGCTGAGTAATGAGCCTCCTGTTAATACAGCAGCAGAACAGTGCTTTTTATCACAGGCTCTGTGAGTGTTTGGCATTTTTCAATTTAATGAAACAGTCAGCAATCTGGCTGTAAACGCTTCTGAGGCTTCCATTTATAACATGGCATGGGTATGACACAGGTGAGAGCTTATAGCAGAGCTGCCTTTTGACCAGAGGGAAGCTGTTGTTTCTGCCCTAAGCACAATGATGCTGATTTATACAGAGAGATATGTCAATAACTACAAGACACAATAACATGAAATTCACTCTGGATATTCATGCACTCACCAGAGGAGGACTCCTATTGATTCCGGTGACTACATGACTTCAGTTCCTACAGTGTGACTGGATATGATTTTTGTAGTTATCTCCCAAAGCACTGTGGGTAGATGGATGAAGCCAGAACACTTTGGGAGATTTGGAGTATTCTGCCAAAATGTGATAGGGGCGGAAGAATTTTTCAGATCCTTTACTTAAAGAATGTTGTTTTTTGTTAAGTTTCACAGCTTTTGCACTCACCAGAGGAGGACTCCTATTGATTCCGGTGACTACATGACTTCAGTTCCTACAGTGTGACTGGATATGATTTTTGTAGTTATCTCCCAAAGCACTGTGGGTAGATGGATGAAGCCAGAACACTTTGGGAGATTTGGAGTATTCTGCCAAAATGTGATAGGGGCGGAAGAATTTTTCAGATCCTTTAATTAAAGAACGTTGTTTTTTGTTAAGTTTCACAGATGATGTCTTCCACATATCTGAAATCCAAACAGTTCATTAAAATCAAATCTAGGGACACAAGCAGTCATCAGTGGTGTCCATATCATCCACTATCGCTGCTTGTTGATGTAAAATGCATGCTGGGATACCTGTTTACCCTAAATCAGGAGCAGGCCAGGAGTTATCTCCCAAAGCACTGTGGGTAG